ATCCTACCAGGAGCACTAATGCAAGAAGTGGGGAGCTGGGAAGAGCTGTCATATGTAAGCAAGTACCACCAGCAGCCTGCAATTCCCACTATGCCAGAACTTGTGATTTTCAAGAGAAGCCCAAAATCTGGATTTGTGCATGAAGTTTACCAAGTTATGAACATTAATCAATTTTTTTAAAGTTTTAACTTTGTAAAAATCCAACAAGATAACAACTGTAGGCTAACTGCAGTGAAGGTCACCAGCTTTCAACTTAGTAGAGAGGATTAATGCAGAACAAAACAAAACAAATGAACAAAAAACCCAAATTCCAGAGAGATAGTAATAGTTATCAACCAAGTACTTACGTCAGACTGTGTTAGGGGCTTTTACATACCTCATCTCATTTTTTTTCCTAGCCCCGCTATGAAATACATATTATTATTACCCCTATTTCACCAATTAGGAAACTGAGGCTTAGAGAGGTTAAGTAACTTTTGCTCAGAGTCAGAGGGCAGGCACAGCCAGGATTTGAGCCCTGGCCTGTGGTTTCTGGTACACTCTTTGTAAATTATGTCCATGGCAACCAGAAAGCACAAAAACTCAGCTCTGGATCATTGCTGGCTCTGCTGTGGATAGTGAGTAGCAAACATCGAGGAAGCTTCCAAATGAGTTCTTACAGAGAACTAATTGGCTCACAACCTCTTTCTGTGCTGCCCTTTAATAAGAACAGCAAAGCGCTTCCCAAATCTTCATTCACTACTGTACTGAATGAATGCTTGTCTAATGCTTTTCAGTTTATTACAGTGCTTTTAAATGCATACCTCCCCTTAATCCCCACATGAGCCTAATGGTATTGTTATCACCATTTGACAGATAATGATTCAAGAGCTTAGTGGACTTGTTTAAAACCCAAGCAATTAGCAGAGCCCAGTCTCAAGCCCTGGTCTCCTTGATGCCAAGTCTGCATTCTCTCTGTTTCCTTCATCAGGGCTCCCAACTCCACCAGTCACTTTGAAACAACTGTTTATTTGAAACTAATTCCTACTTAATGCTAAAGAAACTCTACTCTGTCTGACAGCTCTGAGGTATCAACATTTAGGTTTTCAAAGATATCTTCATCAAGTGTAAAGTCAGTGAGAGGACAAAAATAAATATAATCAAGTAATACACTCAGAATTGGAATGTAAATGGGCATACACACAAGTCTTAGGCTCTAATTTTAGAAAGAAATAGCCAAAAAGTCCCACGCAGCCCAGTGAGCATCTGGCCCCGTGGGAGGCTGCCTTCATTGCTTTAAACTCCAATTAACCCAGGAAGAGAAGGCAGACATCCTGGAATCCTGATGGGCATTTTGCTTTCAGAGGCACCAGCTGTGTGAGGAACAGGATGACTTTGCATCATGCTCTTCCAGTAAAATGCTGAGGCCCAGAGTAAAAAAAAACAACAAAACCAAGACAAAACAAAACAAAAGAAGTGTATTTTCTCTGGAAAAATAAGTAGGTCTTCCTTCAAGGAGGAAACCTGAAAGTTTTCTCCCATTCTCTGCCTAGGAAGTTGCATCTTCACTTCCCTGACTCTCACCTGGGAGCCAGGGAGGGAGAAGGTAGGTGAACAGTGCCCTTGTACTTGACCGCAGAGCTGACTTGGCATGAGGGTCACCTACTAAGGCTTCAAGGGCTGATCAAGTCTTTCCTGGACATCTTGGCCCATTAGAGTCCCACTCACCTCACAGATTCTTATAACTTTATCTGCACTTAAGTAGGCTTTTAATTAGTCTTCCTGGTTGCCCAGGGCCACAAGAGTGGAAGTTCCATTATGACAAAGTGAACTTTGTTCACTGAAATGCACCAACACTCTAAATTGATGCCTGGGACACAATGAGCTTCAAAGAATACTTGCTGAATAAATGGATGAAGGCTCTACTGTTGGGACAGGTTCTCCTAGACCCCTGAGAAACAGTGTAAAGCAGCCACCAACCCAAACACTTGCTTCCTCTCTTTCTCTTTAAAGGCAGACACTGCTGCAGTTCAAGCTTCCTGAGATCCAGGGTAGAATCTGCTATGTCTTCTCCCCATCTTCCCATCTCCCATAACCCTGCCTCCCATGAGCAATATCTGCCCACCCACCCTGTAATACTCTTCCTCAGCTCTTGCAGTGTAATATATCACATGCCACTCACTTCATCCATCTCACCAGTGGCAGTCACAATTGCACATCTGTTTCTGTGCCTGGCACTGACAGACCTTGTTTTCCACAAGGTCACATCTTATGAGGGAGGCAGATGTATGAACAATTACAATACAATGTAAAAAGTACTATAGCAGGGGTACCATGGCCAACGTAACACGCTGATAGTTATCTGGCCCAACTTGCCCATATGGGGACTTAGTGTTCATACCTAGTTGCTAACCTCTAAAATCTTGTTGCTGTCATCTAACACTTTAGACTGCCAGCATTTCTTGAAATATCCAACCTGCCAGTACTGGTACTGCATTCCCCATAGTATCATCCAGCTTTGGCCAAGTACAGGAAGAGGCAAGCAACCTACATTCCCACTACCTCCACCTAATACCCTCCCTAGCATCTTCCAGGGAATAAGGCCATGGTCAGGTGCCAATTGTCATCTTAAAGATTCTCCTAGGCCAGGGATTTAGCTTAGTAGTTCCACTGCCTTCCTCGAAAGCACAAGGTCCCAAGTTCGATCCCTGGTACAAAAAAAAAGAAAAGAAAAGAAAAAGAAAAAATTATCCAAATAAGCAAGAGAACGAAAGAGAATTGACAGGGTCATCCAAAGCTTAAGGAAACAGTGAACTTATTTCCTATGAGAGTGAAGAGTATTCCTACATATTTGATATGTAAGTACAGTGTATCTGTCATGTATCCAGCACATTTTGCTCATGCACATGCCTGGCCCATTAACTTCTCAGCATGGGCCCCTCATCTATTGTTAGTGTATTATACAGCAGTGAGCTACACAACGAAGCTTTCCCACTGTCTGGGGACTCACTACTGAGCAGGACAGACAGAAAAAGTCAATTAGCATACAATGTGGTCTATCCTACAGCAGGTGCCACAGGACTAAGAAGAAGCCCTACACAGAAGTTAAGAGGAGAGCCAACAGAGGGGACATAGTATAACATATGAGAGGAAAGCACTCTACCACGAGCTACCTCCCTAGTCCTTTGTATTTTTAATTTTGAGACAGGGTCTTGCTAAATTGCCCAAGTTGGGCTCAAACTTACAATCTTAATGCCTCAGTCTCTCAAACATCTAGGATTACAGGCACACAACAGTTGGGAACTAGGCTACGTAATTCAGACCTCACAATCTTGAGTAGGTGTTATCTTGCCTCAGGAACAGGGAAGTATGCACAAGGCCACAGGCCCCCTGGCTATGGGAGGAATGCTAATAACCTGCACACCTGAGGAGAGACAGCATCTGCTGAGGATAGATGTCAATATACAGGCACTTGGGTGTAGAGAAAATCTGGTTCCTCATTAACTTATTCCTTATCCACCCTTCTCTATAGTTGCTCTTCCATGCCCTCAGCATAGGGAGAATGATAAGAAATAAAAAGAAAGAGGGTGGAGGTGATGAAGGGAGGGCAGGAGTATGAGGAAAAAAATGAGAACCAAGATATGTCATGTAAAGGTACAAGATCCCAGTGATGAATGCTAGAAAATTGATCATGTTAAAGTATGCTGTAACACCACCATTTTGAGCTGGACTTCCGGGTTCTTCCCCTAAACCCCTGTCTTGAGTTTCCTTTTCCCAAAACCATGTCAGCACATAGAATTAAAACCTAAAGCTTCCTGCAAAGCTCCCTCCTTAGAGGGCAACGTGGCTTGCGATAGGCTAAGAGCAGCCTACTCCACCCTAACAAGGAAGTCTTTGGCTCCAAGCCCCATAAATAGGGCCAGCACTTCCTCTGCTCTTTCTCTCTGCTCTTTCTCTCTGCTCTCTCTGCCCTCTCAGCCCTTTCTCTCTGCTCCGCTCCCCTGCATAAAATCTCCAGTTGGACCTCTCAGTGTGCGTGGCCTAGTTGTTGAGCATTGCTGTTCCCTTTCAATGAATGTAACTGTACTGTATACTTAAAAAGTACCAATAAACAATAAGATTTAAAAGGGGGGGCTGGGGATTTAGCTCAGTGGTGCTGCTGCCTGCCTTGCAAGCACAAAGGCCCAAGTTCAATCCTTGGTCCCCTCAAAAATAAAAACAAAAATAAAAAGAGACAGAGACAGAGTCAATTTTCAAGATATGAAGGGGGGACCAAGAGGAGAACTGCCCCTAGTGGACAGATTCCAATAAAACTCTTCAGTCATCCTGCTTTTATTATGTAGAGAGAAGCATAGTGGGAAGGGTAGTATACATTTAATGGAACTGCATGCAATGGTTCCCAGCTCAGCCTGACTCATGAAAGGCAAAGTTTTCCCCTAATGGACAGGGGAAGATAAAAAGTGACTTTGAGTAAACTGCCAAAAATAGTACCCTACCATTAAAAAGTATTGCTCATCAAGATTACCCATACTCTACAAAGACCCTAGATAATATCCAATACTTCCAGGCCACGCAGAAAAAATTTCCAGGAAAGTAAGGCCAGGAAATTATCCCTTTCCTGTCTGAAACCCGCAGAAAGTACAGGTCACCACTGTGAGCAAATGTCCAGTGCTGTAACACAACCTTATGTCACCAGAATACTTCCCTGGCATTTGTTTGGCAGAAATAACCCAGATTTCCACTGTGTTTTGAAACTTTCTGGTTCCTTATCTCAGCTAATATAAAAAGTTATATCCTAACAATATGAAGAAATGCACAGAAACCAGTCTGTCCTCAAAGAAAAAATATTCCTCTTTCATTTGTTGCTAATAGGACAAAGGTCAAGAAATGGAATTCCCAAATCAATATAAGAGCTGGCATTCAAGAGAAGAAATATGAAATACCAAATCCTTGCTCATTAAGTAATCATTAACTCTTAAAGACTAACTCTTTACATTTTCTTTTTTCCTTTTAGCACTCACCTCTCCAGTCAGAGTTAATGAGGAACTCTGGCCACTGAAGTGGTTGTCGGCTTGCGTGGACTCCAAGTGAGCTCGGCGACCCATCTTGGCCCCCTGTAAAGACAAATGGAGGATAATGCTAACCAAATGTCACTATGTGGATATAAGCCTATTCAACCCACTATGAGGTAAGCATGAATTGGATTTGGGATGACACCTTAGAAAACAGTTTGAGTAATTCGGATACATTTGTACAAAATGTTCCAAACCCTTAAAGCAAAGTACCTCAAGTCAATTCAACTTGATAGAACAGTAAGAAATTAATGGTTTTAACAGCTATCAGGATTACAAAAGCCAAATCACTTTTCCACTCAAAGAAATGCAATTAGAAATGCGTCTAGATTGGGCAGAGACCTCATGCCACAACTAAGAGATGAGGGTGGTAAAAGATTCCATATTCTAAGCAGGATTTTAGAAAGGCCTAAGTTTATAGCTGAAAATAGTTATCAGACTTTTGGAAAGAATTCCTAAAATTCCATGGCAACTGACACAGAGAAATAAAAATATATTTGCTTTGATAAATATGCTAGTTGGATTTGCATCTACAGACTAAGGCGAATCTATTACAAGAATGTTGAGGCATCACCTTTGGAAATCAGAGCATCTCAAAATTCTGAGCCATCAAGCAAACCATTTGCAGACATCTTCCAAGGTAAACCCCTTCCTCAGGTAGAAAGAGGTTCTGTGTCTTAAACACTTCCTAATACATAAAGGGGGCATGCTAGTGGATGTTCAAATATACGTTCTTCATTGTTTACTTTTTTTTTTTTTTTTTTTTTTTTTTTTTTTTTTTTGGTACTGGGGATCAACTCAGGACCTTGCACTTGTGAGGCAGGCAGCTGCAACACTGAGCTAAATCCCCCACAGGCTGTTTACTTTTTCAAAATAGCAACAGTAATATAAGCACATATATATCTCATTAAACACAGCTTTGTTTGATCCTCACAATGGCAGGGACAGGACCTGGGATTCACACTGTTTTACTAAGGAGGAAACAAAGGCCTACAAAACTGAATAAGTGACGGACATAGATCGAAGAGCAGTCTTCTTCTGATTTCAAATCCTGGCTTCTTTTCACTATGCCCTGCTGAAATTTGTTTTAAGATGTCCTAAAATGAAAGAGGGGCTTCTGGGAAGTTGCATAAGAGTTCTTACACAGGGTTCACAGTTCAAATTGTTATGCGAACTGTCTAGGTTTTAAGGACAACAGAAACAATCTTTCTAATAAGCTGTTCCCCTTCTCAAGACAGACAATTTCATCCTTTCACCCATGGTTGCCCTTCTGCATTTATCACAGTATCAGGGGATCTGAAAACCATACACTATACATAGAATGATTGCAATTCAATGATCTTGTCTCTAAGTGCTGTTTACATTTAGATTTTAATAACTGCAGGTGTTTTAAGCATTTAAATTTTCTGAAGCCCTAGTATAAATCCACAGGGTAGAAAACCACTTTATCACTTGATTTCAGGTATTTTTAAAAATAGTCTATTTAATGTCAATCTTCCCCTTCTGGGACATGAGCCACATGATGTTTTAGTCACTGTAGTATCTCCACCACAGGAAGGCTCAATAAATATTTATGAAAAGAATAAATGAACTACATCGCCAGGTACTAGAAAAGTTCTATCAGAAAGGCCTGGTGACCTAACATTCTCTTTAGTCAAGCAGTCTGCTTCCTTCTAGACCAATTTCTTTCTGTCCTTCCTACCTCCCTCAGAGAGGCGCTCCTCTTCTAGTACCTTGGAAGCCATCCAGTGCTATCAGGGCACTTCAAAACACTTAGACTTGCCCTGTGGCCCAAATGTTTAGCGACTAATTTTAAAAGTTATAAAGGCCCGAAGGGAGTTGAGATGGAGTAAGAAAAATCTTGAATTTAAGTATTGGGTCAGCTAGGTTATTTACCAACCATATATTATTGGATAAACCATAGCCTTCCAGGCAACAGCAGCCGACCTCCTCTAACAATTTAGCACATGCCAGGCGCTGTTAAATGCTTCCTATGCATTATCCCATGCAGCATCTCCATTTTTGGCATAAAGAAACTGAGGCTAGGAGAAATTACCTTTTTTAAAAATCTACTAACAGCTTTATACTCCATCAGACCTCAGTGCCTGAGAGCTTAATCACTACCCCATGTAATAAATCACAGTCTTGATTTCCAACTGTGAACATGAGTTTATGCCCATCTCCCTGCAGAGATTAGGAAAAAGAAAGGCCGTCCCTGGCTGCCTGCCTTCCGTGCACAAAACCAAGCAGCTTTTGCAAGAACTTTTGGAAAGAGACGTCTTAAGGGAAAATTCTAGGATGGGTGCCAAGTGCGACTCTGGCCAGGAGCCCCTCCAGTCTCTCAAATCTGTCTGTTCTGAGGGAGTTCGCCTTTGGGGCTCCAGAGGAAGGAGAGAGGCTCGGAAATCTCCACTTATCCAAAGGGCCGTCGGAGACAGGGTCTGTTTTCTACTTTTTGGAAATTTTCAAGAAAGCAAAGAGACGGCGGAACCCCTCGCGGCCGGCCCCGCGGGCGGGTCGGAAGTGGCCTCCTTCCCCACCTCAGC